CTCTCTATCTCTTATCTAATATATATATATATATATATATATATATATATATATATATATATATATATATATAGAGAGAGAGAGAGAGAGAGAGAGAGAGAGAGAGAGAGAGAGAGAGAGAGAGAGAGAGAGAGAGAGAGAAGGAGAAAGAGAGAGAAAAACAGACAGAGAGAGAGAAGGAGAAAGAGAGAGCGAAAAGCAGACAGAGAAAGAGACTGAGAGACAGACAGACAGACACACAAACAGCCAGCCAGCCAACCAAACAGACATCCACCCAGACAAACAAACAGCCAGAGGGAAGGGGGCGGGGGGGGGGGAGCTGGCAGGGCGTGAAAGTCGTGTTCCGGGAGCGTCGAGTCCGAAGAAATCGCCGTCAGCAGCGCCGCCGCCGCCGGCCTGGGTGCTCGGGGAAGCGCGTCGGGGGATTTCAGCGCGGTGGGATGGGGCTGGCTGGGGAGCGTGCTGGGGAGTCCGTGGCTGGGGAGCGGGGAGTCCGTGGCTGGGGAGATGGGGGAGTCCGTGCTGGGGAGTCCGGGCTGGGAGTCCGTGGGGAGTGCTGGGAGTCGGTGCTGGGGAGTCGCGTGGCTGGGGTCCTGGACTGGGGAGTCCGTGCTGGGGAGGGAGTCTGGGGAGTCCGTGGCTGGGAGTCCGTGCGTCCGGGCTGGGGAGTCCCGTGGCTGGGAGTCCGGGCTGGGGAGTCCGTGGCTGGGAGTCCTGTGGCGGGATTCGTGCTGGGGAGTTCCGTGCTGGGAGTTCCCTGGGGAGTCCTGGGGAGTCCGTGGCTGGGGTCCGTGCTGAGCTGGGGAGTCCGTGCTGGGCATGGGGATCCGTGCTGGGGGTCGTGGCTGGGGAGTCCGTGCTGGGGAGGGGCTGGGGAGTCCGTGCTTGGCTGGGGATCCGTGGTTAGAGCGCTGGGAGTCCGTGCTGGGGAGTCCGTGCTTGGGGAGTCGTGCTGGGAGTCGTGCTGGGAGCCGTGGTGGGAGTCCGTGCTGGGGAGTCGTGCTGGGAGTCCGTGGCTTGGGGAGTCCGGTGCGTGGAGTCCGTGGCTGGGGAGTTGGCGGGCGTGCGGGAGTCCCCGTGGCTGGGGAGTCCGTGGTTGGAGTTCGTGGCTGGGGAGTCCGTTGGGAGGTCCGTGCTGGGGGAGTCCGTGGCTGGGGAGTCCGTGCTGGGGAGTCCGTGGCTGGGGAGTCCGTGGTTGGGGAGTCCGAGGCTGGGATGGGGAGTCCGTGCTGGGGAGTCGTGGTGGGGAGCCGTGCTGGGGAGTCCGTGGCTGCTGGGAGTCCGTGGCTGGGAGTCCGGCTGGGAGTCCGTTGGCTGATCCGTGGCTGGGGAGTCCGTGCTGGGAGCTGGGAGTCCGGTGGGGAGTCCTGGCGTGCTGGGGAGTCCGTGGCTGGGGAGTCCGTTGGCTGGGGAGTCCGTGCTGGGGATTTCTGCTGGGGAGTCCGTGCTTGGGAGTCCGTGCTGGGGAGTCCGTGCTGGCTGGGGGAGTCGTGGCTGGCGTGCTGGGGAGTCCGTGCTGGGAGTCCGTGGCTGGGATTGCTGCTGGGGAGTCCGTGACTGGGCTGGGGAGTCCGTGCTTGGAGTCCGCGGCTGGGGAGTCCGTGGCTGGAGAGTCCGTGACTGGGAGTCCGCGGCTGGGGAGTCCGTGGCTGGGAGTCCGTGGCTGGGGAGTCCGTGGCTGGGAGTCCCGTGCTTGGGAGTCCGTGGCTGGGGATCCGTGACTGGGATCGTTGCTGCGGGGAGTCCGTGGCTGGGATTCGTGCTGGGGAGTCCGTGGCTGGGATTCGTGCTGAGGAGTTTAGTTTTTCGGGTTTCCAGGAGCAAGAGGAACATCACTTAAAAAAATGATAATAAAATAATAATAATAATAATAATAATAATAGTAGTAGCCTAATAATTCAACCACCTGTTCGAGGCGTAAATTAGTGGTCTGTTCAGAGATTATGTTTTCGTAGATTTAAATCCAACTCCCTTAGGTTATGTAGGAACATTTATGTTACTGTCTATTTTTGCTTATATATGTTTATGTCTGCTTGTATGTGTGGCTGTGTCAGTGTTCCTGTGCTCTTTTTCTAAGTGTATGAGCGGTCGTGTGTGTGTGTGTGTGTGAGCGTGCGTACGTGTGTGTGTGTGTGGTGTTGTGTGTGTGTGTGTTTTGTGTCTCTGTGTATGTATGTGTATGTGTGTACGTGTTTTTGTTTGTTTGTATGTACCTCTACGATGTAAACGTAAATGGAAAAGGGAACTTGAAAAATCTTTAAAAATCTTAGGATAAAATGAAAGATTAAACTCTTATACATCACGTGACAGCGAAATTAGAAGCCATGGCATTTCGGCGAAAAAAAAACTTCGAAAGGCAACAGACAGATGGAAGGTTTACGTTGATACAAGTGTACAGTAAACTTCCTTAGCCAAAGTCACATTGTTCTTCGGTTTTTTTTCTGTTTCTTTCTCCTTCTTCGTTTTTCTGTTTCTTTCTTTTGTTCAGTTCTAGATTCAGAGATAATGACACTGGCTTCTCAGCAATGTAGTTACTAATTATTATCAAATGTCAGCTTCATCTTAACATATACTTCATTCTATAATTTTTTTCTTATTTTTTCTTTCTTTATTTTCTTCTTCTTCTTTTCTTCTTTTCCTCCTTCTTCTTCTTCTTCTTCTTCTTCTCTTTCTTCTTCTTCTTCTTCAAAACTCCCTTCTACACACCACGACTCTATCAAATAATTGACAATTACTTATCGTCAAACCTTGAACTTCAGATTCGTTATCACTTATTACTACCTCCCTTTCTCTCTCTTCCTCTCCTCCTTGCATCCCCGCTGCTTCAAGGAACTTTCAGAATACATGCCTCTCCCCCTCCCCCCCCCTCCCCCCTACCCCTTTCGCTTCTCGGAAAAACACACGGAGCATCATTTTTCCCACGGATGCTGCATCTCACTGACTCATCATAATCTTTTTTATCTCACTTCACTCGACAGAAGCTTTCCTCAGCATCTCTATATTCTTCTTTTCGATTAACGTAAGGAACTTCCCTAAAAAAATATCTTATGTCTGTTTTCGGGATCAGAGAATCGGGTTGATTTCCTATTTGCTGTTATATACAAGCATAATTTAATTTTGATGAAGTTTTCGAAGTAAAAATTTGTTTCTGATTCAAAATGGCCTACGGAATTGCGAAAATATTCGAGATCTCTGTCTCTCTCTCTCTTGTTCTCCCTCTCCTCTCTTCTCCTTCTCTCTCCTCTCTCTCCTCTCTTTCTCTCTTCTCTATCTCCCTCTCCCCCCCCCCCTCTGTCTCTCTCTCTCTCTGTCTCTGTATCTCTCTCTGTGTCTCTCTCTCTCTTTGTCTCTCTCTCTCTCTCTTTGTCTGTCTCTCTCACTCTCACTCTCACTCTCACTCTCACTCTCACTCTCACACTCACTCACTCACTCACTCACTCTCTCTCTCTCTCTCTCTCTCTCTCTCTCTCTCTCTCTCTCTCTCTCTCTCTCTCTCTCTCTCTCTCTCTCTCTCTCTCTCTCTCTCTCTTCCCTCTCTCTTTCCCCCCTCTCTCTTCCCCTCTCATTCTTTCCCTTCCCTCTCCCCTTTCTCTCACACACACAAACACACACTTTCTCGTGCAAAACAACATCACTGTAATATACGAAACCGTCACTTTCCCATCTATGCTTAATTGTACGTTCTATCTCTGTTCAAAAACCCCTCAAGTGGTCTAGTCAATTGCCTCCCGGCGGTCAACCCATGGATGCGTGAGGACTGTTTGTTATGTAATCTCTCTGAAAGCACGTATCATTAGTCCCCTTGCGATGGCTTGCACGTGTGTGTGAGGGGGAGGCTGTGTTTGTGTGTGTGTGTGTATGTGTGTGTGTGTGTGTTGTGTTGTGTGTGACTTTGTTTGTTTGTGTGTGTGTCTGTTACTGTGTTGTTTATGTGTATGTACGTATGCGATACTTTCTTACATTTCAAATATTCTCTCAGTTCAGATACTTCGTCTAAGGGAACTCAGTACAAAGGTAAAAATAAACAATGATCAGGGTATATGAATGTACATCTGATTATATTCATGGTTTTTCCCCCGAGGCGTCCGTGGTGTGAATAAATCAAGCACATACACACACAAACACAATCGCACACAAAATCGCACACAAACACCCATACAGGACATAAGGAAAAAAAGTCAGAAAAAGGAATTTAAGAAAAGTATTTAGAGAAAAATAATTCCTATAACGTCTTTTTTTTACATAACATTTACATTTGCAACGTCATTAACGTATTTTTTTCCTTCTAATACGAAACAAAAATCAAGGAAAAAATAATAATTCGAAGGCAGTCACTTGCGATTTCTCCCTCGAGGCCCAGACGTCCAGCGGTCGCACTTTCGAGAGCCGACCACTGAACGGCGTCGCTTGCGGTGCGGAATCGAACGGCGTCTCTCGAAAGGTCACAACAAGACGGTAAACAAATCACTTTCTCCCAGATGAACAGAGAACAGAGAGTAGAACAACGAGGTGTTCTTCGTCCGTAGTCGAGAGGTCGACGTCCTTCGCTCGCCTCCTCGCCTCCTCGGCTTCTCCAGGATGAGGATTTGTGGCGTCCAGAGGTCGACATTCTTCGCTCGCCTCCTCGCCTCCTCGGCTTCTCCTGCATGAGGATTTGTGGCGCCAAGAGGTCGACGTCCTTCGGTCGCCTCCTCGCCTCCTCGGCTTCTCCAGGATGAGGATTTGTGGCGTCCAGAGGTCGACATTCTTCGCTCGCCTCCTCGCCTCCTCGGCTTCTCCTGCATGAGGATTTGTGGCGTCAAGAGGTCGACGTCCTTCGCTCGCCTCCTCGCCTCCTCCTGCATGAGGATTTGTGGCGTCAAGAGGTCGACATTCTTCGCTCGCCTCCTCGCCTCCTCGGCTTCTCCAGGATGAGGATTTGTGGCGGTAAGAGGTCGACGTCCTTCGCTCTGCCTCCTCGCCTCCTCAGGATGAGGGATTTTGTGGCGCAAGAGTGACATCCTTTCGCTCGCCTCCCTCGCCTCCTCGGCTTCTGCATGAGGATTTTCGGTGTTTTTTGTGGCGTTCGTTCAGTTGGGTCTGCGATCGACGCCGTTCTCTCAGGATATGGTTCCCTTGACGTCTTTCCCTTTCGCTTCTGCTCGTCGGTCTTCCATTATATACTTTCCTCTACCGCATATTATATTACTGTATTATATTTTATCATATATATTATCATATGTTAATATAAATATTGCATATATATTTTTCAATATTATATATTATATATATTAATATATATATATAATTTTATATATTATTATATATATATACATATATACATATACATATACATAATATCAACACACATCACACACATATTATATATATATATATATATATATATATATATATTAATATATAATATATATATATACAATATATATATATATTAATTATATATATATATATATATTATACATATACATATATATTATATATTATATATTATATATTTATATATATTATATATATATATATATATTTATGTATATATTATATATATATATTGTATTTTTTTATATATATTATATTTATATTTTATTTATATTTTATTATTTATTATTTTTAATATATATTTTATTTACATATTCATATTATTCATATAGCACACACACACGACATTCGCACACACTCATCACTACACACACACACAACACACACTACACCATCACACTACACACATTGCATATATATATTATTTTATATATTTATCTATATATATTCTTATATTATATATTATGGTATTTTTTTATTTTTAAGTTTGTAGTATTACATATTAATCATATATTCATTTATATTAATATATATTATAATAATATTATTTTTTTTATGTTATATATATTAATTTACATATATTATATTGTTATATTTATATTATATATTATATATATATATGATATTTATATATATATATATATTTTTTTAAATATATGTTTATATTTATACATATATTTATTCTTATCTATCTATCTATCTATCTATCTATTTTATCTTTTATTTATCTATTCATCTATATATCTTCTATCTATTATCTATCTATCTATATATCTTTATCTATCTATCTATCTATGCTATTCTATATATAATATATATATATATACTTATATATTATATATATAATTAAATTTATATTTAATTTATAAAAATTAAAGATGTAATACTTATGTGTGTGTGTGTGTGGGTGTGTGTTATTGGTCTTCTTCTCTCTATCATTCTTTCTTCCTCCCCCAACTCTCTGTCTGTCGGTTCTATTGCTATGTCTGTTCCGTCTATGTCTGTTCTCATTCTTGTCTGTCAATCTTTCTTTTTAATTCTCGCGTCTCGCTACTGATCGTCCATCTATCTTCGCTTCTCTCTCTCTCCTCCCTCTTCCTGTCTGTGTTTTGTCTGTGTCTTCTCATTTCTTCTTCTCTTTTTTTCTCTCCTGCTTTTCTCTATAGAAAACATATTTCATGGTCATCTCCCGAAACCAGGCACTGCACTCACGCTCTCCGAGCATTTACTTGTTAATTTCCGGTTTCATAGTTTTCTTTCGATGACATTTCCATGTCTAACACTTCCGTCAGATTACACTTCGGTATTTTTTATTACGAGGTTGTGGTTGGGGTTAAGGGGGGGTGTAATTAAAAGATAAGTAATGGGTGTTTCAAAGGAGGTAGAAATAAAGGGTTAACAAGGGAGGGGGGAGGGAAGGGGGGGGGTGTACAAAAGATAAGAATGTGGGTTTTCTTCAAAGTGGCAGGTAAAATTAAAGGGGAAGGGGTTGATGGGAAAGGGAAGGGGGAGGGGGTGTTACTTAAAATGAAAGAATGGGGTTTTTTAAGGTTGTTAGGTAGGAATAAAGGGTTTTAACAAGGGAGGTAGGGGAGGTTGGGTTGGGTGGAGGGTGGTTTCCTCAGTGCGTGTTAATATCAGTTTGCAAAGGTAGATATAGTATATTCAATAGCTCCGATCATATTCTGAGAGGATACACTAGATAACTTATTACTAGTATCTCTTTCACGTATTTATTTAGGCGGGGTTGTGAGGGTGGTGCGTGTGGGTTGGTGGGGTAAGTTTGGGTTTGGAGGGGGCGTTGTTAGGTGGGGGTCATGTTTGGGTGTGTGGTTGGGGTTTGTAGAGTTTGTGTTCTAGGGAGGACGGAAGATAGTGTGGGATGAGGAAGGAGGAGTAGTAAGAGAGGATTTCAGTTTTGTTATTTTTGGTCAATGTTGTCTTTCTTTTCGCAGTATATGTTGTGGTGTTTTCTTTTCTTTATTAAAGCAGTCTTTGTTGTTTTTCATTAATTTTAGATTTTATACAGTAATATTTTTTTTTACATGTGTGTTTATATATATTTTTTATTTAATTTGTTTTTAATATTATTATTATATATATTTTATTATATTTATTTACATATATATTTTATTATTTATATATATTATATATATTATATTTAATTTATTATATATATTAGTATATCATATTTGATTAGATTTTAGAATAGAATAGAGTAGATTAATAAATGGAATATTATAATTATCTATTATATTACATATATTTATATATATATATTTATTATTTATATATCTTATAATATATATATCTATATATTTATTTTTACAACATATTTGTATATATGATATATATACTTGTATTCCACGTTATAGATATGTGCAATGCATCATATAACAAATGAATAGTATAATAATAAACAAATATAATATTCTAATATATAGTGTATGTATTATTTTATTTATTTTATTTTTTTATAATATATTATTATTATATATATTATTTTTTTTATTTATTTTATGTTTTACGTTATTTTTTATTGTATATATAATGTGTTGTGTTGGTGTGTTGTGTTTGTGTGTGTGTGTGGTTGTGTGTGGTGTGTGTGTTGTGTGTGTGTGTGTGTGTGTGTGTGGTGTGTGTGTGTGTGTGGTGTTTGTGTAGATCAATTATATATATCACACACACACACACACATCAATCCTTACGCACACACACTACACACTCACATATATATTTATATATTATAATATAATAGTATATATTATATATATATATATTATATTTATTTTTATATATTATATTCTATATATATTTATATTATATATATTATATATATATATTATATATATTAATAATGTATATATTATTACATATTATTATTTTTATTGGTTTTATATTATTTTACAATATATTATATACTATTTTATTTTATATTTACATATACTTATATTTATATATTATATATTTATATTTTTATATTTTATTTTTTTTATATAATATGTATTGTTGTGTGTGTGTGTGTGTGTTGTTTGTTGTGTTGTGTGGTGTGTGGTGTTGTTTTATTATATGCGAGATGGCTTGCTTGCCTTGTGGTTGTGTGTGTCTGTGTGTGTTGTGTGTTTTGTGGTGTGGTGTTGTTGCGTTTTGCGTGTGCATGTATATTTTATATTAGTATTATATTTATTATTTTATTATGATATTATATTTATTTTTATTTTATATATATTATATTTTTCTATTTATATATATATGTATGGTATATTTTAATATATTCTTATTTATATATCATATATTATATATTTATTATTATTTTTTTTATTATATTTATTATTTTATTATATTCTTTTTATATTTTACTTCATTTGTTCATCCGCATACATATATCACATATTTACAAACACATTCACACATATATATTTTTGTTTTATTTAATTATATATATATATTTATTTTTTATATTTAGTATTATTATTATTTGTTTTATTATTTATTTTTATTAGTATATTGTATTTTTAATTATATATTATGTTATATTTACTATTTTTATTATTTATTTAATTATATTTTTTATTTTACATTTATTTACTATATCATATATATTGTGGTGTGTGTGTGGTGTGTGTTGTGTTGTGTGTTGTTTGTGTGGTGTGTGGTGTGTGTGTTGTCGTGTCGTGTGCGTGTGGTGTTATATATATTAATTATATATATATATTCTATTATATTAATTTATTAATTTTTTATATTTTTAGTTTTATATATTTTATACTAGTATTTACATATATAATTCATATATCATACATATATATTATATATATATATATTATATTATTTTATATAATATATATATCTATTATAAGTATATATATATATTATGTATGTAATGTAATGGTAAGTGTATGGTATGTATGTTATATATATACATACTTATATATAATATATTATATATACTATATTATATATATTAATATTATTAAATATATATATATATATACAGAGAGAGAAGAGCAGAGAGATGTATGTATTCATTTATGTGTGTGTACGTTATGTATATTTTGTGTGTGTTTTGTGCACATGTATAGCAACAAAGAAATGAAGAATAAGTAACGGTAAACGCCGAGAAAGAGAAGAAGAGAGAGAGAGAGAGAAGAGAGAGAGAGAGAGAGAGAGAGAGAGAGAGAGAGAGAGAGAGAGAGAGAGAGAGAGAGAGAGAGAGAGAGAGAAGAGAGAGAGGAGGAGAGAGAGAGGAGAGAGAGAGAGAAGAGAGAGAGAGAGAGGAAGAGAGAGAGAGAGAGAGAGAGAGTAGAGAGAGAGAGAGAGAGAGAGAGAGAGAGAGAGAGAAGAGAGAGAGAGAAAGAGAGACAGAGAGAAAGAGAAAGATAGAGAGCGATAGACAGAAAGAAAGATGGAGAGGATAATAAATAAACAGATAGAAGAAAGAAAAAAGACAAAATATAGTAAGAAAGAAAGATGGAGAGGCTAATAAACAAACAAATAGAAAAAAATATATAGTAAGAAAAAAAGAGAGAGAGAGAAAGTCTATAATGGGTTTGCTACGATCTAATACTCATACCTACCTGCCAAGCATCTAGTTATTACGCTTGGAAATTTGTTTACGATCACTGGCGCTCGGGGTATAACACATGTTGTAACAATCAAAGTAATCACCACAGACACGGGGAGA